GGTTTCGTGGCGGCTTCGCAGAAGGCTACGTCGCAGGCCAACAAACCTGTCACCCTGGTGCCGGTGGACGGCAAACCCGGGTACTTCAAGCTGGTGGACCTCCCAGACCTGTTCCCAGTCCTTCCAGCGTCAGCGGCCACCTTGCTAAGGGACATCTCGATGGAGGAGGCGGTCTCCCTGTTCCACAAGTTTGTTGGGAAGAACCTCACGGAGGACCTGGTGATCCGCATCTTGGAGGCGTACGTCCCGATGAAGATCCAGCTCCGCCAGGAGGAGGTCTGGGCTTCGCAGTTCCAGAGGAACAGGGCGTGTGTCGGCACCCAGCGCATGAACAGGCTCGACGCAGCATTCCGACTACAGGTTCATGTGCAAGGCATGCGGAACGGGGTGGCCAGAGGCGGCCAAGCAGTGCTGGGTCTGCCCCGGCAAGGAGTTCGCCCCCTTCCAGGCACCCTCGGCCACCTATGAGGCGGACGGCATCACCTACAACCTGCTCATCTTGGAGGGCAAGCCGACCTGGATCCAGCAGCGCGAATGGGGAAGCCTGGGTGCCGTTGGCCCCGGTGGGACCCTGGCACAGGCCGACCGCAACTTGGTGGACGGCACGGTCTTGGGGAGCCCCTCCAAAGACGGACTCGGCAGATGAGATCACAATGGCAGATGCGGTCCCGCTTAACAGGCGGGTGGACATCCGGCAGGAGATCCTGTCCATGGAGGCGGACGACGAGGCGTTGAAGGTCCGGGAAAGGCAGGAGATCAAGGTCAAAGTGCAGCGGTCCCTGAAGGAGGCGGAGGCTCAGAGCTTCGAGCTCTACCATCCCCAGGTGGACCAGGCGATCAGGAAGAAGGAGGAGCTGCATAGGGCCGCCGTGCGGGAGCAGCGGGAACCGACTCCGGAGGAGGCCTCGGCCAGGCGGCGGCACAAGGAGTTGGTCACGGAGGAGATGCTGGACAACGAGATGGCGATCCTGGCGCCCCTCCAGGAGGGCATGCAGGCCCTGCCGTCTCAACCTGGAGCGTTTCAAGGCTAAGCTCGTTGATGCCAGCCAGGCATTGGCTGAGGCGATGGGCTCCATTCAGGAGGCTCAGGCGGCAAACAAGCGAACCCAGGACACCAACCAGGCATGGATGGGGGGACATCAAGGAGAAGTATGTCCCCTACATCAAGATGCTCAGAGCGTCGCAGAACCCGTGGCACCAGGAGGCACTGCTGGAGGAGATGCCCGAGCTGGCGGCGCCGGCCCCCCCCAAGGGTGCCACCGGCCCCGGGGGGGACCAGCCCAGCAAGACCTGGACTCTGAGGAGGGCAAGTTGTCCCTTATCCTCTGGGCAATGAAGCGGCACCAGGGAGAGCTCCGGATGTTTGGGGGGGTTTGGAAGAAGCACGCAAGCGGTGAGATCCCCCGGGCGCTGACCAGCAGTTTAAGCTCGTGCCGGAGGAGCTCCTGGCCCTTGAGCGCAGGACTCACCCACTCACGTGCGAGCAGGACCACATCGACCCAGTCATCTACACGGCCTTGGAGATCCGAGCCCAGGTGAACCGGGGCGAGCGCCCGGCACCTGAGCAGGTGGTGGGTATCTTCTGGGCGAAGGGTGAGGGGGTGTTCTGGACCCGACAGACGAGAACGTGGGACCTGCTGAGCCTGACGGGAGTGTACGCCCACAGGTTCACATTCAAGTATATCTACTCGGCCTGGACCACCTTCCCGTTGATCGGGGCCGTAATGCGGAGGGATCGACCTCGGACAAGTGGATGGGCAACATTCTCCAGATGAGGAAGGAGGCGGTGCCCTTCCTGGAGAGCCTGGGCATCCCCAAGCCGCGCAGCAAGGAGGAGTGGAGCTACATCTTTAAGGAGATGGGGACATTCCTGGCGGCAAAGAACTTCATTGTGAACTGCCCGCTGCCCGTGATGGAGATGCCGGTGGCCCCCATCCATGATAGTAAGGAGGCGATGCGGTTCAGGGCAATTTGCGACGAACGTATCACCCTCCCGCTGGCCTCGCTGAGGGCCTTCGACTCGGTCTACACCAAGTTGGTGGCGGGCCTGAGCAAGTCGTGAATGGTGGAGGTCAAGGTCAATTGGCGCTGCAACGTGGTCCACGACTGGGTCGAGCAGGTCCCGCAGGAGGCGGCGGGGGCCCGGTTGGGCTACTCCCAGGACCTCATCCGGCAGCTGGGTTGTTCCCCCCCCTTGGGTGCCGTTGGCCCCGGGGGGGGAGCGCGGACCCCAAATCCAAGGTCCTGGGGGGGGCAGACACCACGCTCCGCACCCCAGACCAGGGCACCAGGAGGTACCCGCCCATCACCACGGCCACGGTCACGGCGGTAGCGGGCCGAAAGTACATCAACAAGCACTTCTCCAAGGAGGCGAAGCATGTGTTTTGGGGCTCCGTGGAGTGTGGCTTGGCCTTGCCAGTGCCTGGGAAGTGGTGAGCAAGGAGAAGTTCAAGACCACGGGGGGCTATATGTGCAGATTTTGCAAGGGCTTCTGGAAGGCGAGCTGCGGGGGGACCAGGCTGCTCCAGATCACGGGGTGGCGCAGGGATAAGGCCACCTGCTTGCAGTTGGTGATGGACGAGCCCCCGGAGCAGCTGTACAATCAGTGGATCCGCGATCGGATGGAGTTCTACAAGAGGGTGGAGCCAACGGAGCCTCCCAGGGATGAGCGGCTGGTCCTGGGCGACGCGAGCACCCCCCGCATGCGCTTCAGCTCCTCGAACGGCCTGGGGGATGTCTCCACGGCCTTGTGGTCGGTCATCCTGAGCAACCCGGAGAAGTCGGGGCTGGCGGCAATCCACTCGGTGGCGAAGGAGGCGATCCTGAAGAGAGGGAGCCGCTAGGTTTTGTATCACAACCCTGTCGGATGTGGGAGCCGTGTGACTTCCTCCTCCCGGGACTTGGGTGCCTTTGGCCCCGTCTCCGGGGGAGGGGGAAGGGAAATGAGTTTTCCTTATTGGGTTCGGTTTTCACCACTGTTTCCTCTCTTATTCCATTCTGTTGTCATGGCAGGGGAGCCACGTCACGGCAGCTTGATCTCCTCGACCATGAGGCCACAGGCATTAGCTGCCCCAAGGACGGGCCATCTCAGCCACGGTTCGGGAAAAGTGGCTGCGGCCGACTCTTGGTTTCCTTGAGGTCCCCGTGGGGTTTCGGGGAATCCCCCGCCTGGTCGGTCTCCCCCCTCCGTGCTTTTGGGGGGTTTCTGCGGGGTTGATTTTGGGTCGCGCTCCCCCCTTTCCCGGTTAAAATCTCGGGACTTTGGGGGGGACTTGTCGGGATGCGTGTGGCCTGCCTGCTCCATCTGCACTCTGCATTCTGCAAGGTTGGAGCATGCATGCATTGTGCCGCGGTTGGGTCCCGGCGGTTCGATAGGAGGCTCGAAACCCCCTTTTTCATCATGGCTAGGGTATCTACCAAGTTTCTTATGCGCCCGCCTTACACACGTCTTTGGGACCGCATTCCAAGGGTCCTATGGGACACGTTGGCGGACGAGTCCTTCTCCCCGAGACAGACGGACGGGGAGCTGTTGGTCCTGATGTGCCTGCGCCAAGGCACTGAGGAGGAGGGGAGGAAGCTGGGCGGAGAGCCGGCAGTCCGCTTCTCTCATCTCCTGGAGCTCTCGGGCATTCCGGTAGGACAAGACGACCGCATGGTCCCGACGGACTACTTCAACGGCCTGGTGGCGTCGGCGGCAGGCAGGCTGCCCCAGCCTCTGTGGCCATGGTTCCTCCTCCTGGCGACGGCGGATGGCAAGCCGAGCGAGGACTTTTCCCCGCTGGAGAATGAATGGGACCGCCAGGACCAATTGAGGTGGTACTCACGAGATGATCCACCCCCACTCCAGCAACCGGAGCTTCTGAAGTGGAGGCACTGGCGCCCGGGCAAAATAAGGGAAATGGAGCCCACGACCCAGCGAGCGCTGGAACTCCATATGCGCGGGAAATGGGCGGAACGGCTCCTCGCCCACTTTGCCCCGTTTGCGGAGCACATCGCATACATGCAGGACATCCTGGGAGAGGACTTCCGCAAGGAGGCATTGGACCTCCTGGGGGACACTAGGTTCCGGACACTCAGGCAACATTGCCTGGTCTACGAGAGTCTCCGGAAGAGAGGCTTCACGGTGATTCCCTGGCAGGAACGTCATGTCCGCTCTCTCCTCAACCAGCTCGCCGAGGAGGAGGTCACCCCATGCAAGCTACGGCAGGTGTGGAACACCCTCAAATGGTATTCCAAGACCTTTGGTATGCTGAAGATAGACGAGCTCCATCGCCTCAAGCCCAAGAAGAGCTCGTTGGAAGAGGCACTCACGGACACGGTCAGCGCAAGGCGGTGGTCCCCAGCAAAGAGGTCATATGGGCTCTGGAGGAAGGGGCTGGCTACGATCACCTGGGTGCCACCGGCCCCGGTACGCAGGCAGCCCCGGGGAGGAGCAGACACGAGGCACTGGATGCATTCATCCTGGGTTTCGCCCGGTTCCAAGTAGGGTGCAGCGCTCGTTTCAATCAGCATGTTCACCCCAAGGACCTGATCCACACCAGTAACACCGTGGAGCTGAAGGCCTGGCAGACCAAGACGGTCTCAGCAGCACGAATCAACCGCAACCCGGTTTCCTTGATTGCTCCAAAGTACAGCTTCACGGGGATCCCCTGGTGGACCACCTGGGTGGCCACGGTCCGGCGACTGGTATCCGAGGAGGCATTCCAGGACATGGACTACTTGCTCCCGACAGTGAGCAAAGACTTCGCAGGGCTGAGCCCGAGACCTTCCACACCAGAAAGGGCTCAAGGATGCTATTCTCCGTCGGGGAGTGACCCCGGGGTTGGTGAAGCCGCTGACGTGGCACTCATTCCAAGTGTTCATCCCGGACTGCGCTTTCCAGATGGGGATCCCACGGGAGCGCCGCATGTACTTAGGCAACTGGCTCACAGAGAGCACAGCAGACGTCTATGTGCGGGAGAAGCGCAATGTCGTGGTGGAAATTTGGGGCCAGGTGGCGCAGAAGGTCCCCAACCTGAACCTCGGGCCAGGCAGGGAACGCAGGGAGGACCTGAACCACCCGGACTGGGCGGACCCGCTCCCGCCGCCAGCAGTGGAAATCACGGATGCGGGACCGGACGGCCACAAGGACCAAACCGAAGGGGAAGGGGAGGCGTCCCCCACAATACCCTCACAAAGCGCACCATCGACTCGCTCATGGTCATTGGTGGAACAGGGACCTGAGGACACACCAGTGAAGGTCAAGGACCTGTTTCCCACCCCGGACTTCCCTCTTCGTGTTGTTGCGGCGGTCAAACGCACAGGCAACGCCGGCCAGGCCAGAATCCACCTGCTGAATGAGGAAGGCACGGCTGTGGGGTGCGGGTGGCGACCGGCGGCCTCCAAGATCGGAGCTCTCCGTGCTGGACTACATGTCGGAGCCAGAGGCCTATGGCAAGTGCGAACGCTGCTTCAAGAGGTATGGCTTCCCGGCGGACTGGGTACTGGAGCCTGCAGAGGACTCGGACTCCTCGGCGGACTCGGGCTCTAAAACGGATGACTCGGTAGACACCCAGTCGGAGACCGACTTCCTTTGGGAGCCTAGGTGCCCCCGGCCCTGGCGCCCGAAGGGGGAGGCCAAGAACAGGGCTCTGGCCAGGGCCCTCAGCACAGACTGGCATCCTTCGGAAATGGCGGGTGTGCCAGACTGTCCTTCGGAAATGGCGCTATCAGTCTGCACACCCGTTCTTCAGTTTTTGAGAGTTTGTGGTGGGTGGCCCATGGGGCCCACCCAGCCGTAGACATCTGACAGGGGAAGATGAGTCCCTGGCACCAACACATTGCTTGGATAAAAGAGTTATCGCTTGCTTGTGTGGTGCCGTTTGGTTAGCTTACATACACTTTGTTAATGTTGAAACGCATGTGGAAACATGAACTGTGTTTGGAATGCTTGACCACAATGGCATGTGCCATTTTGGCTCAAGCATTGTTCTGGGTTCCTGGAACCCAATCTGATTGAAAACCCACCCACCCACACCAAGGTAAGAGGTCATGGCTGAGGAGCCCGCCAAACTACCGGCGGAGGTCCCAGCCGCGATCAAGGAAGACGTGGCAAAGCTGCAGAAGCCACTGGCGGCCATCCTGGTGGGCAAGGAAATCCCCTGGGTCATCCAAGCGGCACTGGGAAGCCCTCACTTGGACGGCTGGCCCCGTGGACTCGGCCACTGTCCAAAGCAGCAGCGATGGGGGCCAAGATCTGTGTCCTCACGTCGCCATGGGGGGACAAACTCCAGGAGTCGCTTTCTTTGGGGGACGGGTCACACCCCTTCCCGGAGGACCTGCTGGAGGATATCAGGGAGATCCTGGCGCCAGGGGCAGGCCGAGCAGCGGAAGGCCAACCCTTCTTCCTGGACATCTTGCACAGCCTGGCGCTGAACATTCAGGACCCCGACCACCAGTTTCCTCGGGATCTGGAACAAGGGGTCCCACTGGGGGTCACGGACCCACCCCTAGCCTCGCCGGGCATCTGGCCACTCAAGAAGGAGCTCAAAGGGGAGGAGCCGGAGTTCCAGAAACTCCCTCATCCCACGGTAACTACCCCTCAGCGGATCACTTCAGTGAGCTCATCCGTAGCACATTCCTGGAGGAGGTCCCCATGGGCATGGTAGATGGCCCTCTCACCAAGGTAGAGGCAGCAGCGCGCTGTGGCTGCAATGTGGAGGATCTCTGCCCAGGCCCCCTAGCGGGCATCGACGAAGGGGACAAAATCCGCACCATCTACGATGGCTCGGTGGGCGGGGCCAATGACACCATCAGGAACCAGACGGTGGAAAGGACGACGGCTCCGACGGTGCTGGATGGGGTACAAGCTCTTCATTGGCTACATGCGGCAGCTGAGGAGGGACCCCCCTCTCAGGGTGCCCCCGGCCCCGAGAAGGGGGTCGCCAAACCTCCACCCGAGGGCTGGCAATGGCCGGAGCCGGGCACCAGGTGGGTGCTGCTCAAGGCAGACGTCACCAAGGCCCACCGGAGAGTAAAGGTCCTCAGGAAGGACTGGCGGTTCCAGGTGGCCTCACTGGGGGAAGAATGGTGGGTGAACAAGGTAGGCACTTACGGCATGGCCAGTGCCCAATCCTACTGGGGACGCCTGGCAGCCCTTCTACTCAGGGTCCTTTACGCACTTTTCCCTCAAGTGGACTGGAACTTCGTCTTTGTGGATGACTTCCTGTGGCTGCTTCGCAGCGAAGGGGCAGTAAACTTGGCGGTGGCGCTGTTGGCCACACTCCTGGCCTTGGGCACCCCGCTTAGCTGGAAGAAGACACATTTGGCGGAGGTCAACACGTGGCTGGGCTTCGTGGTCCACCCGAACATCCCGCAGGTTCTCATGGCCGCCAACAAACACATCCTGGTGATGGAGGTCTTGCAGATCATGGTGGAAGGGCAGGCGATGCACTCCAAGGACATCGAGAAGGCCCTGGGCCGCATCCAATGGGCAACTGCTGCATGTCCGCTGGCGAAGTCGATGCTTCAGCCGCTGTGGGCCTGGAAAATGGCCACCACCACGGTGGGGAAACCCCCTAAGGTGGTCAGGATGCTGGCGTTCATGCTGCGGTTCCTCTTCAACACGCCCTTCGTCCAGTACTCCCCTTACTTGCCGAAGTCCTCTTGGTGGGGTTGCAGCGATGCTAGCGCCTCGGATGAAGGACTGGCATTTGTGGGAGGTTGGTGCGCCAACAAAATGGAGCCGGAAAAGAAGGAGGTGTACTGGTTCCACGAGCAGATCCACGTGGAGGAGTACCCTTGGGCATTCAAGAATGGGGATCCCAAGCGGAGGATTGCGGCTCTGGAAATGCTGGGCACGCTCTTCCTTTGTAACATGATCCTCACGCACCAAGGCCCTCTGTCCTCCCGGGTCCGACTCCCGGTGGGCAGTGACAATCAGGGCAACGTCATGGCGGCTCAACCTTGGATCCAAGAAGCCCTACACCGCGGCTATCCTGATGGAGCTGGTCTTCCTGCTCCACACCCATGGCTGCTCGCTGGCGGCCAACCACGTGCCCCGGGAATTCAACCAGTGGGCCGATGAGCTGACGCACCCAGATTTCTCTGGATTCGACCCTTTGCACAGAGTCCCTAGACAGGAACTCTGCGAGGAGTTCATTTTTCTCCCGCGTCTCCTGAATGGAGATGCATTTGATCTTAGCGTGGGCCCACCCATGCTCCCGTGACCGGAGCCGGTGGGTGACTCACTTCCCCTGGTGGCAGACCCCCCTGTGGCCTGGGTGCCCCTGGCCCCGGCCCAGGGGCGGGCGCTATCAGTCTGCACACCCGTTCTTCAGTTTTTGAGAGTTTGTGGTGGGTGGCCCATGGGGCCCACCCAGCCGTAGACATCTGACAGGGGAAGATGAGTCCCTGGCACCAACACATTGCTTGGATAAAAGAGTTATCGCTTGCTTGCGTGGTGCCGTTTGGTTAGCTTACACACACAGGGCTGAATGACACAGTTGAGTCTGCCAAGCCAAGATCTGCAAGAAGGCCCCTACAGGTTTGTCAGGGATGACAACCCAAACCTCATGCGCGGCGGCCTTTGCCATCCCTCCTGTTTTTGGGGAATCGATTCGGCAGACCTCTCATACCGACTCAGACCTGTCATGCAGACTGAGCCCCAGGAGACCTTGGTGACTGTGCATGTCCACCAGAAGGACTTGTTCCAGGAGGTGTGGAAGAAGGCACGTTGATTGCTGAGTTAGGTTGACTGACCCCTAGCGTGAACCGTTTGGTTTTGGGGCCAGGCCATTTGTAAACCACCCAACAGAAAGGGATTTGGAGGCTGTCACCGAACAATTGGGGAGCCTGAGGCCCTCAGGATGAGGAGCGACGATGTGAAGGGGCGATGCTTGCAGTGCGAACCCATGATATTTCCAAACGCCTGGTACGTGTGTGTGTGTGTGTGTCCTATTTTGGAGTCAAACCTCTACTTTCGGGAGAAAAAAACACGGCCAGCAAGTTCTATTCAATCCCGGATCAATATTTTGCAACCTTTTCAGCCGCAGGATGGGCAAAGTGGGAAAAGAGCTTGCACATACTGACGTTCTCCATATTGATGAGTTGCTCTCTAATTCAGGGAAGCCAAAAGGAAACCCTTGTGATTTGGGGGTCTGCTCATTTTGAGCCAAACCAGTTTTGCCGTTCTGATATCATCTCAGGGGGTGTTGTTTTTCTCGGTACCCTTTTTGGATATGTTGCAAAGGGAAGCCACTGGAACACCATTTTCTGTTGGTGCACCCTTATTTTCAGACACCCTCGGCACATCCTGGCCAGGCACGCGATGGCAAGGTTAAGGATGAGAACGACTTTGAGTGGTTGAAGCAGACGCGGCTCTACTGGAAGCAAGAGACAGACCATGCCGTGGTGTCCATTGCGGAGCCTTGACTATAAATGATTCGGAGTCGCATGGCAAAAGTGGAAGCCAGGGGTGGGAAAACAAAGGAAAACCAAAGGGAAACCAAAGCAAAAGCAAATGTTTGGGCATGGACCCCCATGTGACAGTTAAAGGACAGTCCCAGCCAAAGATAGGAGCGGACATCCGCCCTTTTGATTCTCTGCTTGGTTTTGGGTACACTTTAATACCATGCTTTGATTATGACTCATTTGTGATCGCAACAGTCCTTCTTTGAGGAGGGTGTCTTGAACACAAATTGCACACATCCTGGTCTTAGCCAGCTCAGTCGAGCATTCCTTTGGATTCCAATTCTACACAGAAATCGGTATGTGTCTCTCCTGGCCAATGGGTAATGAGACAAAACCGTGCATCCTCATGTCCTGATAATGCTTCTCTGTGAGCAAGTCTTTTGCTGATTTGAAACTTTCCGCCAATGGCACTTAGGAAATGGCCGTTCTGGCTCCTGCCCATCTGGGGGTTTCTCAAAATGGATTTCGGACCCCCTTTTTGGTTGGTATCAAAAGGGAAACCAAAGGGAACCAGTTTGGGGGACCGCTACTTTCAGAAACCCCATCTCTGATTCTCGATGTCGCGCCAGCCTGTGGACAAGAACAGAGTTGTGTCGATCGTACTTGTAGTTGCTGTGCCCTGCAATGTTAAACAGCAACTGCGCACAGAGTATATAGATAGATGTCAACTTTGGATAGATTCAGGGGGCTCTCTTGTTTCCAGTAATACAGACACGGGCCTTTTCAAAAGGATGGTAGTCCGAGCAACTCCGATGGAGTGGAGGGTTCCAGTCTCCGGGTTTCGGCGAGGTGGTTTCCCTTGGGGATTCCTTGACTTAGGTTGGTGGAGGAAGTCCCGGGTTCGCGCACGGGCCCCTTTCAAAAGGGCGGAGTAGCTCCCAGATTTCGTTTAGGCCTCTCCGGTGAGCGGAGCTGCCTTGCGAACGGCGATGGGTCAAAATTGGGCCTTTTGCTTCCCCTTTGGGTGGTTTTGCACACCTTTGGACCAAATTGAAGTGAGCTGCCCTTTGCGAGTGTGATGTTTACAGGCGAAATATGGGGAACCCCTTTGAAGGGTCCGATCGGATTGTGGTTACCCCAGACTGACATGCTATGTTTGAGACCCCAATACTTGTGATACTGCGATGTTTGAGGGGGGGTCGACTAGCAAGCAACACAACCAATGGCAATGACCTTTCGCCTATCTCGTGCATCCTTTCAGCATGCATCGACTGTAAGCGGCCCCTTGACCAGATTCCCCTGAAAGTCAGCAAGCAGTTCTGTGTGGTTACTCGCCGACAGCTCGGCCCGAAGCCCTAATTTTTGGATCGCCCAACAGCCATGGGCCTTAAGGGCAAGGCAAAGGGCAAAGGGAAAGGGCTCGGGAAGGGCAAAAGCCAGGCTGTGGAGGAGAGCAGCGATGACGAATTTGAGAGTCCTCTCCTGGGAAAAGGCAAGGCCAAGGATAGAGGGCGCGGTCAAGGAGAAGGAAGAGGAAAGGGCAAGGGCAAAGGTAAGGGCAAAGGCAAGTATGTGGACGAGGACAGCAGCGAGTCGGAGTATGACAGCCCCGTGACCGGAAAAGGCAAGTCCAAAGGCAAAGGACGAGGGCAAGGAGAAGCAAAAGGAAAGGGCAAGGGTAAAGGCAAGTATGTCGACGAGTACATCAGCAGTTGGGAATATGACAGCCCCGTGACCGGAAAAGGCAAGTCCAAAGGCAAAGGACGAGGGCAAGGAGAAGCAAAAGGAAAGGGCAAGGGTAAAGGCAAGTATGTCGACGAGTACATCAGCAGTTGGGAATATGACAGCCCCGTGACCGGAAAAGGCAAGTCCAAAGGCAAAGGACGAGGGCAAGGAGGAGCAAAAGGAAAGGGCAAGGGCAAAGGCAAGTATGTCGAGGAGTACAGCAGCAGTTGGGAATCGGAATATCACAGCCCCGTGACCGGAAAAGGCAAGTCCAAAGGCAAAGGACGGGGGCGAGGACGAGGAAAAGGCAAAGGCAAAAGCACGTATGGCAAGGGCTATGGCGCCAGGGATGCGTGGCTTGATAGCCCTTGGACCGGAAAGGGCAAAGGCAAGAAAGGACAGGGCAAGATGCCTGCACCCCCAGTGGATAGCGAAGGAGAATGGGTGCTGAGAGAAGACTTTGACGGGTTTTGGGGCTTCGGCTATTTCATTTGCCCATGTGGCAAGGCTTGGCCCTCTGCTCGCACGCAGGCGAAGTTCCGGCAGGGCTGCCAAAGCTGCGAGGCCTGGAGTTACGCGCGCTACATGTGGAAGAACACGGAGAAGCGCTTCCGAGAACGAGAACAGCGAGACGACGAAGGAGAACACGACAGCGCAAGGTGTGAAGCGTGCCGCCTTGGCATGTGCAACAGATATGGGCGCATAGGGGTGTACTGAGTCAACCTGTCAAGTGGGTGAAGCTTTTGCCGTTTTGGTTTCATTTGAGCAATGGTCAACTGTCGTTTACTGCAGTACATGTCATGATGCAGGGTAGGCTGAACGAGCTTGAGTGAGAACACACCCCAAACACGACGCAAGTATGCTTGAAAGTTGTGTCCGCAAGGCCCCCCAATCAAAGCACGTCAGTTTGACCATTGCCTTTATCATGCGTGCAACTCCCGGGCTTGGCCGGGGCGGCGCCGTTTGCATCGGAAAAAAAGGGCGGCGCTGCCGGCTCCGCTGCGACATGGGACCTGAGTCACCTGAGCCAAAGTCAAATCCGAAGGCTAGCCATGGGCGACCCCAATTCAGACAGAGCGGCCACTCAATTCATTCTTCACGTCGGGCCGGCCACTTGGCCTTTGACCTCAAGTTTTATCTGTTGCACCACCATTTCGTTGAGCGCCCTTGGTTTGGTTTGTTTCAGTCCACTTCCCCCAAGTTCGGTTGAATTCTGGGGCAACATCATTTTAACAGATCAAGTCCCCCACGGATCCCGCAGTTCGTTTGAATTCTGGGGCAACAGATCATTTTCAGCTGTGGGTTTTCCGAGGACGTGGACTTCGTGTACTCCTACGAGTACTTAGGCTGCAAGGAGCGGCTGGTCATCACGGCGCTGACGGACCGCTGCTACGTGACTCAGTCCCAGGCGGGAGAGAACAGCTTTTGGGCAGGGAGGCGGAATTTGGCTTTCAGGCTGGAGGTGGAGGCGGGGGGGTTCTCGGTTTCGGTTTGTAAGTCAACGCACCTGGCTTGGCTTTGCTTGCGAAATCTCCCCTGCGGTGGTCTGCTGGGGGTGGTCACTCTTACATTTGCTTTGTGGAAGCGGAATTGGCCTCAAATGAGATGATTTGTGTAAGAGAGGTCGTCCATTGTACGCCAGAAGCACTGCGAAGGATATTCCACGACTTGTTTGGTTCTTTCTCAAGATGGGTTTGGCTTGCGTCCAAAAAAACCTCGTACCAACCGTGTGGTGAGCCTGCTCAGCCTTCGATGCGTCCTGCCATAGCCCAGCAGGCGAGCTAAGCCGCACTCATGGCCTGGGTAGTGAAGGTTGGACGGGGGGCGACCCAACCATATCCACCCCTGCGCTTTCAGCAACCACTTCAATGCCAGGTTGTGGTTTCTCCCCTGAGGTTCACATGGACCGCAGCCACAAAGGGCTTCCCCCCAAAGAAGGAGATTTCTCAGATGGCGTTTTTGATTTCATGAGAATCTGCGGATGACGCACTTGACCCCCACTTGAAAAGCTCAGCGAGTCGTGCCTGCCTCGCCCGGCAACACGCACGCCAGGCTTTGGGCATGTTCTTCGGCGGTGCGCCGGCAGGCCCTGCCGGTACGGGCAAGACAGAGACCACCAAGGCCGGTTTGACGATTTAACGCCCAGACACGGGATGAGGAGATGGGTGATTTTCCAGACCCTCGATGTGATGTGTCTGTGTGTGCGCGTGTGAGTGTGTGGGTGGTTCTTGCCGGTGCCACCCAACCAGTTGGTCCATTCATGGACAGTGTGTGGAGTTGCCTTTGGAACACGGAGCGACGGCCAGAGCGACTCGGGAGTCGCTTTTGACGACCGACCATTAGGACAATGCACATGTTGAGTTTGTGGCTTGTTCCATTTTTTTGATTTCAAGATGGACCATGCACGAAATGAGGTGCTTTGGCCACGAACCAATGCTTTGACACGAAAGGGCTCCAAAGACCTTCATCATGGTTTACCGCAAAATGGTTTCGCCAAAAAATGTGCAGATGCACAGTTGCCCCTCAGTAAGGGATTTCCAACAAGGGTTCAGGTAGATAAAGGTTGGTGGGGAACTTCCTTCTGTAGAGCTGTTGTTGATTAGATTCTTAGATTATGCTTAAATGTTAACTGATTTCTGAAGAAGATTATATTGGAATGGAACTCGTGTATAATATCTAATTTGAAATAGAATGCTTCTTGCTTCTCAATTAGATTATAATTCAAATATATTTCAGGTAGAAATTGAGTAGAATTTGCTGAAGATTACGTGTAATTTTACAAGGACCTAATTCAGAGCCACCAACATTTGCATGAGTTGTGTTTAGATGGTACCTGTTTTGTAAAGAACCATGAATTGGAAAGGACATCCTTTGCGAAATTTAGCTTGACATAGACTAAATATGGCTTGAATGTTAATTGAACATAGACATGCTGAATGGATTCTGTCCTGATTAAATTCAGTTTAAATTCAGATATGCATGGTGTATAATTTGATAGCATGCTAAGTATCATTTCATAAGGACGGAATTCAGAGGTCCCAACATCGTGTTTTTTTTTTTTTTGTTTTTTTGCTCCGTGGTCAGAAATCACAGTCAAGCACCGTGTTTTGTAGTGCTGTTTGTACTAAACTCACATCTCACCAACGGCCACTCTCTAACAATCAATTAGAAGTTGATTAAGATTCACTAGGATTCAATAAGAACATACTTTCTTCCGATTCCTATTGGATTTTCTATATATTAGAATTGGAATTTACATAGAATTCCTTGCCACATAGAACTTTACAATTCAATTCGAATTTAAATGCATTCGATAAGGACGGACTCCAATCAGACTTTCCACGTCAAATTACAATTTAATTATGAATTGATCCATTTCAAATCAGACTTTACCTGGGATTTCCTGTTCACATCATTGATATTTAAACACACCTAATTCAAGCAGAGTTCAACTCGAAGTTCCATTTTAATTTGGACTTTTTAGTAGGATGTCCCTTCCATCACAACACAACCACTGGACCAGCCGCGCCCGAAAACCAAATGCCAAACAAACTCGAGAGAAACAGAAAGCTAAGAAAGCTACAACAACAACATTCTCCGAACACTCTTGGCACGGTGACAAGCTACTTCTAGAAAGAATGTCTGAGGATTGTTTTTGTTTTCCTGACTTGTTTTTGCTTTTTGGCTTTGGGGGCTTGATCCCATGGAAAGACTGTCTGAGAAATGTTTTGCTTGGTTCTTTCTTTTTCTATTCTTTGTTACTCGAGTTTGTTTTATTGTCTTTTGGAAGCACAGGAATGCATTAACACAGCAGACAAGGCAGACCCCAAAGCAACAAAGCAACAAGCAATTTATACAGCTCCAAAAAATACGAACACACGCGCTGCCGCAGTCCCTTCTGTCAAGACATGGGCTCCGGTGTTCTCTTGCTTTCCCGTGAATCGAAGCGAGAAATTGAGACCCCCTTCAGAACTCTTCGATCAGAAGGCTTGGCCGTGCTTGGGGACTTGGTTTATCACAGATGCAAGCTCCCAAATGGATCCCCCCTCGCCCTCAGTCCGGTGGCCTGGTCTCAGAATCTAGAAATAGAGCACCCCCCTCAAGTTTCCTCTGAAACAATGCAAAGTGCCGACTCGTATTACCAAGCAACAAAAAGACACCAGCAAAACACAAGAGTAGAACATCGGCTTAGCTTCCGACTTGGAGCATCCCTGCTCGTAGGAAAAAAGGGTTGGTCACAATGCCCGATAAAGTCAACCAAGGGACGTCTAACTTTATATAGCCGTTTTGGCCTTTTTTATTCCTCAATGACTCCTCAAAAGGGTGACTGCGTAAATCCCTTTTTCCGATGTCCATCCCAAGGTCTATTTCCAGCTAAGTTCATACCCCGATCTCGGGCGGCTTTTCTTGGTTTCCTTTGAAAAGCATGCCTTAATTCGGGCGTTCCCCTCCAAGAACGGCATACTCAAAGTGCCCCTCTTTGAAATCAATAGCTTTGCCATTTGGGCGTGGCTCTGTGTTTTGGAGTTTGGCGGCTCAGAATTTAGACCTGGGCTGGCAGCTGTGTGAAGATCTGCTGATCCTGAAAGATTGGAATGGCACAAAAACCTGCCTCGCCAGGATATGGGCCGCACGCTGGGTGTCTTCGTGGCTCCTTGGCCGGACAGAACCGAACCGCGTTGCTCTGATCTAAAAGATGACCGAACCACACAGGTAGAAAATTTGCCCTTTGGTTTTTCTCCTTGTCGAGGGAGTGCTTTCTGGTGAGGATGACGGAACCCACTACTGAACGATGAATGGGGGGGTGTTCCATTTTAAGTGTGTGTCAGAAGGGCCCCCCCACAGGGTGGGAGAAACTGACTGTCAACATTTGGTCGAACCGCTCAACACGATTTTTGTTTGGTTTACAAGAAGACCAAACGGCAAAACCAATTTGGTTGGGGTCCTCCTATTTGACACACACACACACGCACGCACAGATGTATTTATTCTTACAGTACCCAGTGAGTTTGCAAGCTTTTTGTGGGCAAGTTTCTTCATTTTAGTATGCCAAACAGTTTGAACCTCGATTGAATGGTTCCTATATGTGGGCGAGCGCCACGGCTGACCAGACCCGCTCGAGGTGGTGACCAATTGCTCGGACCAGCACCGATTCCGAGACATGGCCAAGATCTTCAAGGGGCTTTGCATGAGCGGCCTGTGCTTTGTCCAAGAAGGGGTGGGTAGGGAGACACTGCGACAGGTGCAAGACCAACGAAGCAGATAGACTGCCAGGAACAGGAAGCAATCAGATACCAGCTTGTAGAGACATTGCTAGCAGCGGGTCCAACGGATTTAGCTTGCCTTCTGTCCGCATTGCAACTTCCAGTGGCAGACCTCTCATGAGTGGAAGAGCTAACATGTGACCCTCATTGAGCCGAGCTGGCCGTGCTCAGTGCTGTGGCCGCCTGGATGGTAAGCCTCAACCCCCAAAGATATGCATCCTAAGGAAGCCATGGCCCAAGTGTGTGGAGTTTTGGCCAGGGACTGTCTCATGCTGAAAATGGAAATCAACAGCCTCCCTGTTCGGGCAACACAGGTGGGGTTGCTTCGACGAGTTCAACCGAATTGAGCTGGAAGTGCTGAGCGTGGTGGCGATGCAGGCGAGTCGTGGAGAGGTTCCTTGATTTTCACTTGTGTTGGACCTCCAGTGGCAGCTTTGAAGAAGGGAAACCTCACCGGCAAATCGCAACTTTTGAAGCCCTGTACGCAAGCATCTTCGACTCCGCTACAAATTAACATGGCCCTCCAAAAAGCAGAGTGCCCCAGAGGAGATTCCTTTCAAAGGTAGGTATAGAGGGCTTCCGTTGCGGAAAGTCGCCCTACTGTGGATGGACAAAATCCTGCACCACCGAAGAAACCCTGGAATGATGATTCTCCGGTAAATACCAACAAATTATGGTTTCCCATGGTTTCAAAGCGGTTCAGGATTTCGTCCATCCACAGTAGCACTCCGTCGGCATGGGGGTCTCGGTAGCCACCTTTACTCCGTCCAGCCGAAGAGGGGTGGTACCCTCTTTCCAACAAGGGAAGCTCCTGTCAGCTTCCATGATTGTTGGGAGGGCGGGTAAGCCAGAAAAACGGCAGCCCAAGCCATTTTGGAACGTGCGAAAGCGCCAGGTGGAGTCCATTTGCTCCGCAAAGCGCCAGGCTGCGACTCGCAAGCAAGACGGGGTCCCTCTTAACGGGGGGGTGCATGGGTTCGTCGTTCATGAAGGTTGCCCATTTTGCGGTTGCTTTCGAGGGAAACCAGCAGGAAGCCACGTATTTGCAATATCTCCCGTTCTGGAAGGCTCAAAGTATATTTGTCTTTTGGTATTTCTCATGTTTTGGATTTAAAGGAAACCAAAAGGAGAGCCATTGTGAGGGACCGCATTGTCTGGTTTTACCTCATCTCCCCTTGGGGATTGGTTGGATCACCTGTGGTCTTGCATCTCTGAGGTGTCCACCTTCATGTTCCCAGGCACGCTCGGACTGATTGAGCCCGGTTGCCAGGGACCTGTCAGAGACTATCCCCCAAAGACTCCCCCCGCAAGCGCTAAACCGAAGGCTTATTTACTCCTGAACCCGTGGGACTCGTGTTTGTGTTTCGGGGTCCCTACAAATTTGTAGGGACCCTGAAGGATCAGATGTTGTTTGAACAGAGTCCCAGTGTTCTGTGTTGGTCGCGCCAGGCGAGCCAGCGCCAATCAAGCTGGTGCCGTCTGCCACTGGGCGCATCTTTCCGCTAACAGCGGGATGTGTTGTTTCAAAGGGAAAGCAAGGGGGAGACCAAGTATTCCAATGTTGAATGGTCAGGTGGATATGAAGCCGGCCATGTTTTATGATTTCCACCAAAGCCTCCCATTTCCACAATTTTCATTTCTACCCCAAATCTCCGACAGAAATTGGACTTAAACTGCTATCTTGAAGTTCCAGTGCGTCAAATGGGCGTTGGAGCAAGGTAGGCGTTACTCCCAAGACACCCTCATGGCGTTCGAGCCGTGCTCGATGCGTTGTTTTGTGGCCTATAGGGAGACGGCGGCTGGTGAGAGAGATATGGGTTAAGCCCCTGCAGCTCGAGGGAGCCAAACGTGTGTGTGAATCAATGGTTGGGCGGCCCATAGGGATCGCTCTGTTCTGGGACTCCCATGTACTCCTGTTTTCCGCTTCTTCCTTTCTGGCCCGCCGCGGCGCCGGATCCGTTTTCATGTTTCTGACTATCTGCTTGTGGAAGCAAGTGTGAAATACTGATTCCGATGCCACGCCAGAAAAAGGCCCGGCACGGATCATCTCAAGTCCGCAGCCACCCCTCTATCTCGCACTTTGCTTCCAAGACGTCAGAGCCAGCGAGGCATAGAAGCGTGGGCCCAGCTGAGGTGGGTTACTTCATCACCATGAACCCCGGCTATGCTGGGCGACAAGAGCTGCCTGAGCTGCTTGGCAGCGATGGCGAGAGAATGCGAGCCTGAGAAGTAGAAGGCGCAGTACTCAAGATTGTGAGTTAGCATCCCCAATGCTTTCTCACAAGACATGTGATACACATATGTAAAAAACAGTTGGGACACCTATGAACCAACCATGGGTTTGATTCAAGTGGTTTGCCATTTCACCCAAAGCTTGGGGCCGGAACCTGGGGCTTGTCGAGGAACGTGAAGGCGCTCTTCCGGAGTGTGGCCCGGGGCCCAGTGCCCGTCTTGTGGATGCCTGAGCCATGGCCACAGGACCTGACTTGGGGTTGCCATGATGGACGCTCTGGTGGGGATAGACAGTTGCAAAGAATCCTAGCCACCGGTGGCCTTTTGGAAAAATAGATGGCCCTGGTAAATGGAACAAAACCCATCTAAACCAGTGCCATCTATTTTTAACCAGGCTCACCTAAAAAGGGACAGCTATGATGCTAGCCAACTATGGCCATTGGGAGTTCTGGGGAAGTCCCTGAATAGGTATTGATTCTGACTCGAGCTGGTAAGATGCAAGGGAGACCAACTAGGGGAAGCACGCGCATGCCCCACTGCCCCTTGCGGTTCTTGAGATCTTTTGCCACTGCACCAGCAGGCCATCCCTTGATTCCATCCATCCATCCATCCGTCCATCCATCCGTCCATCCATCCATCCATCCATCCATCCATCCATGCATCCATTCATCCATCCATCCATCCATCCATGCATCCATCCATCCATCCATCCATGCATGCATGCATCCATCCATCCATCCATCAGTCCATCCGTCCATCCGTCCGTCCATCCATCCATCCATCCATCCATCCATCCATCCATCCATGCATGCATGCATCCATTCATCCCTCCATCCATCCATGCATCCATCCATCCATCCATCCATCCATGCATCCATCCATCCGTCCGTCCGTCCGTCCGTCCATCCATCCATCCATGCATCCATTCATCCATCCATCCATCCATGCATCCATCCATCCATCCATCCATCCATCCATCCATCCATCCATCCATCCATCCATCCATCCATCCATCCATCCATCCATCCATCCACGCATCCATCCATGCATCCATGCATCCATGCATCCATGCATCCATGCATCCATCCATCCATCCATCCATCCATCCATCCATCCATCCATCCATCCATCCATCCATCCATCCATCCATCCATCCATCCATCCATCCATCCATCCATCCATCCATCCATCCATCCATCCATCCATCCATCCATCCATCCATCCATCCATCCATCCATCCATCCATCCATCCATCCATCCATCCATCCATCCATCCATCCATCCATCCATCCATCCATCCATCCATCCATCCATCCATCCATCCATCCATCCATCCATCCATCCATCCATCCATCCATCCATCCATCCATCCATCATCCATCCATCCATCCATCCATCCATCGCGACCCAAGCTGTCCTTGGCTCAAGTGACTTGAGCTCCTAAACTGGGCGGTTTTTTGTTTGGATTCCACTTGGAACACCCCCCAAAAGGGGGTACCAGCTCCAAGCAAGACACACCCTTATTGCTTTCCGTACCAGAGTCTTAACACATTTATTCTTGCATATCAATGAACACACATCCACATAACTGCGTATGTATGCGGCCCTCTCTCTCTCTCTCTCTCTCACGGCTGGAGTTAGCCATGCATCATGGCTTCTCGCAAGCTCTTAAACAGATGCCTTGCCATTTCGCAACCTCACAACTCTGACATTCCTTTCCAAGGCCATGATGGTGCCCAACCGTGAGACCATCATGAAGGTGAAGTTGGCCTCCGTAGGCGCGGAACATGGGCGGCTTGAGTCAATGAGTCAACCTGGATGTGAGGAACTTGTGGCTTGGCCGAGTTGGTCATTTTTTCGTGGTTGCTTCTTCGCCCTCAAGCTGCAACCCCGAGTTTTGATAGCACCGCCAGCCTGGGGATCCGGGAGGATGGATGGCTGCTCGTTTCCATTGGTTGGGTCAACAGAGGAGAAAAAGAAAGCGGACGTTGGAACCCTGATAAATCCGTTGCTCGCGTGATTCCAACCCTCTGATGCTGCGCTCGGTACAGGGACATGGCTACTTCAGAGGGACTGAAGCTTGACCTGGCAACATGTCCAGACTTAGCTTAAACATTTGCTCTTTTGCCCCTTTGGTTTCTTTCATCTTGCCTTCTGACCAGGTGGTTCCACTCGTGTGGCCAAGGCAAGTCGGACGCATCGCCGTACTCAATGGGTAGGGTCGCGACCATCAGGTGCGTCCGAGTTGGATAGTCTGCACCCTTTGATACCGGGGTTAAACATGCTTTTCGTCCCCGGAATCATACGGCGCGGTGGGCGCGACTTCTCGCGTCAGGATACTCGCAGATGGATTTGCTGGGCAAGAAGTTCTGCATCCTCTACGCCCTGTGCGAACAGCAGTTGAGCAAGCAGAGGCCAGCAAGTTTGTTTGTTTTGACTCCTGCCATTGTGTGTGTGTGTGTGTGTCTGCGCGCGTCGGCGCATTTACTTCTTCCGCTGCTTTCATCCACATAGAGCCACCCCAGATTTGGAAACCGGAAAAGAGTTGTCTGGCTTCCATTCTCCGCGGGAGGTCCCGATTGCGGGAACACCTTCTCAAACCCCGAGAAGCCCCTGGTTTGTCTTTTTCCCCCTTTGATCTCCAGAGTCGGGTCTTTCCCATAGGACACCTTTGGATTTACCCTCCCACGCCGCCATGAAAGGAAGGCTTTGTGTTGTTGTTTTTGTTTTTGTGTTGTTTTGCTTGTTTTGCTCGCTTGTTTGTTGGCTGGCTACTCGGCTCGTCTCGGCTCGGCTCGGCTTGCTTGCTTTCTTTGGCTGGTTGGTTGGTTGGTTGGCTGGTTGGTGGTCTGTTTTTTTTCCCAACAGCTGAAAGCTTTGGGGTCTCAGCCCAGATAGGCTCCGGGGTGGTCTGGGGCGGCCCTGAAATAAGGTTCCACAAGGGTTCCACCAGGGTTCCACCAGGTTCCACCAGGTTCTGCGAGGGCTGCGGGGTGGTCAGGGTGGTTTGAGGTAAGGTTCCACGAGGGTTCCAAGAGCACCGCATGCTGTTGGGGATATCACCTGAGGTACCTTCCAGTAAGTTCCAAGTTTGTTGGGAGGGTACCTTCAGCACGGAAGCTGTTTGGGGTGGAGGTTTGGACCCCAGCCTTTTTCTCACGGGTCCAAATACCCATTTTGAGACATGCCCATTTGATTTGCCACCCACCTTCGGCACTAGGCAGCGAGAGGGTGCTCCACAAAATCACCCCACAACAAATCGACCACCAGGTAGGCGACATTGGAAACGGGCATCTTTAAGAAACCACAAATACAGTTGCTCATTTGTTGATGTAAACAGGCCTGCTCCGAGACGTTCCTAGACTACCAAACCTACATGGCCACGTTTGTACCCTGCTGCGGTCTATCAAATGCAAACTCAAGGGTTCCTGTATGAGACAAGCCCATGTTTGCTCTGGTGCCCCTGTGAAGGCACTACGACTTCGGGCTGCGAAACATCTTGAGCCAGCGGCCGAGGTCTAGGATTCCAGAAGTCAGAAAAACCCGTTGTTGGGTGAATTAGAGCCTCGATGGGAGGCTTTAGCCAATTGACGTTTGATAGCCATGTGGTTGTGACCGAAGTTGCCTTGCAACTTGTACCCTTTTGGAAAAGGATTGTTCCTCACTCACCAGAAGTTAGCAACTCTTGCTCCGAGTCTCTGATGACCAAACCCATTGGTAGAGGTATGGTTTGGTTTCCTCTTAATTTTCTTTCATTAGGGACCGCGTTGGAGGCATCGGTCGCCGTTTTTCTCGTTTTGGGATTTTGGAGAAGCGGCTTGAACGGAGGCAGGACACCAGCACGGGCTGCGGACCATTTTTCAGGGTCTCGTTTTGGAGGACTCCCCGGGTTGGGCTCCGCGTTCATTTGCCGGCAGTCTGGGCAGTTTGGGGTTCACTCTCCGGTCAGCTGGCTCACTGTGCTCTAAATCAGGACCTGCGGTATGCGTCGCATTCCCCCTTTTTTTTCCGGATCTTCGACGTGCACCTCCTTGGGGCTCATCCATATTTCCCTTTGGTGGTTTTGAACCAGTACTGGCCTTAGGGCATGTCTGGAAACACCCATCCCCAACAATCTTTTGGAGCAGTGGTGGGGGGTGACAAGGGCATCACCTGAAAAGACACTCACCCTGTGCGCCCCGCTAGGGCTCTCCGAGGTGTGCTGCGTACCAGCGGCGGCGTAAAGCGCTCCGAGCCTCCTGACACGGACGAGGAGATGCTTTTCATGCGCACGGTGCGCGACATGCGCCGCGGCAGTTGGCTTGCCTTTTGGACCCCCAGGGCTTCCTAGGGTTTCCACCACCGAGTCTTTCGGAACTGGCTTTCAGGCCGATGAAGGGGCCGGGTGCCTAAAAGTGTAGCCCATCCAAGGCCAAAATGGAATCGGTCAAAAAGCAAACGCTTCTGACTGACCCTGGCTCAAACCTGTGCTCAAGACCTGAAAGGCAGATATTGATCGCCGACTCCGAAAGTGAACAAAAAGGGCAGCCCCCTACTCATCAGGGGGTCAGTTTGAAAGCCCAGATCGAAGTTACTCCAAGGCAGATTAAACCTTATGGCATTGGTTCCCACTTTGAATGGAAGTCAACCTAATTCTGGGTTTGCGCCTGTACCGTTCGCGTTTGCTCCAAAACATGCCAGTTTTTCGTCTGAGAGAGGTCTCAGAACGTCCTGCTTTTGCGACTTCCATCCACCTTTGCCCTGATCTTGACCTGGGCAAATGAACCGGTTTCGGGACCGACCGCAAAAAAACACCTATTCAGGATGGAGGTTTCTTCTTGCATTCCTTGCTTCTGGTTTGTTGCAGTGACTTGCCCAGAGTAACGCGTCCGAGGAACCTCTCGAAGCTGGCGCGGGGCCCCAGCCTTCGGCCGTGCGATCCCAGGTCAACGACCCATTTGCGTCCGGCGGTTCGGATCGCCCGGCGTCCTGTTGGACACAAACTCATTCATTCGCGGGTCAGAAAACTGGACACCGGGAGGGGCGGCTTCAAAGAGCCTTTGGCTGGCATTTTTGCATTGCGGGAGGCCGTGTACAGGTCGCAGAAACCCATGCAGATTTGTCAGATGTTCAAGCGAAAGGGATAGGAGGCTGGTCCCAGGCGTAAGTCCCAAGTCTACTCGATTCGCATCTCCAAACCGAACATCCGCCAGACCCGAAAAAAAAGAATGGGCTCAAGTGAGCCACGATCTAAACCCAGGTAAGTCAAGGGAAGTGACAGTCGCAATCAGGTGCAAGTATCCGCCATTTTAGTTCTCTACATTAGTTTCTCAGTTTGGTCGGGATTGACTGCTCCTGGCTCCGCGGAAAGTCATCCCGGAATTGCAAGAACGAGCGCTAGCCGCCAGCCGCTGATATTTTAGCTGTGTCTTGAAATCAGGGACCCGCAAGCTGGATGGTGTTTCGCCGAGTTTCCCTTTACACTAAATACCCATCTGAACAAGAACAGCAGTTGCTTGGCATTCGCGCGGAGTAGCACCAGGTCGGAGGTCGGCCACTTAAGCGCGCACCTCGGGATCCAACACCTCCCAAAGCCGCCCCATGTTGTCCAGGTGGTTGGAAAATCCTCACCAATGGTTGGCAGTAGGACAATCCCTACGCATGTCAGATGTCCGCCAACATGTCCATTTCCCTTTGTCAGACTCATACCCTTCAAAACCAGGAGAAGTTGATGGCCTTTATATAATGGTCCTTGGCCTATAGGTACTACTGCCATTAGACATCCTCCAAACACAAAAAGGATTTAGAAGGTGCCACTGAGCAACAGGGAAGAAACATGAAATTTCAGCTTTAAGCAAATCGGACACTGTATAGCCCAATAAAGGAACCCTGCTTGTTCCCCAGAATTCCCTATACTTTTCTTGGTGTTCTGGGCACCTTTTGGGACAGAGCTTTGAGTTTCCCGTTCAAAGGGGTTTTGTTCGACTGGAAATAGGGAGCCGCTGGGCCCCCAGCGCCGTGAGCCTCAAGCGATTTGGGTCCGCATCTCAGTGACTCAGGTGGCCGACGACGTGCCGCTGTTCCTGGCGCTGTTGAAGGATCTGTTCCCGAAGGCGCAGAATGGGATGGGATGGTCTCAGCAAAGGCAGCTCGAGCCTTCGATTCTTGGGAGTTGCGTCATCCCCAAATTTTTTGACCCCTATTCCAGGGGCCAAGTTCACTCGGATGTTTTTCAAATCTACCATGCCAAGGACTCCTGCGCGGCCGAGTTCGCTCGGATAGGTGACGGATCCTCCGAAGAAGGTCTACAAGAACGTGGAAGATGGCTCCCGCGCCGGAGCCTCAGATCTCGACATCTTGGGGTGAAGGACCCCGAACCTCCCCCCCCAGCACCACCCCCCCACCCCCCCCCGCCGAAGCAATCATTTTAGGGGTTCCATGTGGAGCCACACATTCAATTGTTCACATTTTTCCCCAATTCCAGGGTTGACTTGGGAATGCGTTGTAGCCGGGGCAATGGTGTCGCATGTGCGAGTCTTTCATGCCACCATGGCGCCTCGGAGGGACTTGGAAAACAGGACTGCTACATTTGCACTTTTGTTGGTGCATAAAGTATCACCCTTGAGATCAATTTGAGACCAATTTGAGACCAATCTATTCGGTGAGTTCCCTTTTGATGGGCTGCAGAAGAAAGGGACTCACACTCAAAAGAGCGACAGACAATAAGGTCCGCAGTCTACTGCTGGTTACAACAACGCACCACCCCATTCTCCCATGTTCGTTTTGCCATTTTGTGCAGGGCTCAAGGCACCTCGCGCTCTCCCCCAAAAACGAGGAGTTAATGGAGAGCCGAGTCGCGGCCGGCGACGCATTGTGAGGCCCTCCTGTCCAAGAACCTTCTGGTGGATTGGGACACCTGGATGCTCAAGGTGGTGCAGCTGCCGCCGGGACACGACTTGGTGCAATGAAAAAGGGACCCCCCCATTTTCATTGCCAAAGCCACTTGTTGCAGGGGTCTAAGTCTGGCCCAGCTTTTGGAGCTCCTTCCAAGGCGCACGAATCCAGGAGACATACGTAGGCTCCGCTACTCCCCGGAAAGGTCATCAGACCCCTTACCTCTAAGAATGGTGCTGTTCTGAGTTAAGCTGTTTTCCTTTTACTTTTTTGGTTTCCCTTCATTGTCCCTTTCTGCCAGCAGAAAGTTGTCGCTTTTCTCGCCCAGTTTTTGCACCCCTTTAAGTGTGGCACGCACACACACACACAACTGGCTTCCTGTTTGCACCTCAACTCGGGTCCTTTTTGGTCACCTGCCGCGATGGTGCGGAAAGGACTTGGGCAAGAGCAGAGCGGCCAGCCTGGAAAAATCGGATTTCCCAGACATCCAACAGGCGTGGGGCAAATGGTTCCCAGCTGTTGACTCAAACAGGCTTAGCACAGAGATTGCCATCCTTCAAGCATTTCAATTTGGGTACCTCTCAAGCTTCGAGCGGTGGTTGGAGGTTCAAGCCCTTCCAGCTCTAGATGCATGGTCTGCAAAGCCTTCGCTTCACGCTCTGGTCTTACCGGCCAAAGTCCAAGATTGGGTTGCTTCCTCCTTTAGGCCCATTGAAGACTTGAAGACTGGAACAAAAGGTAGACAAGTGACATACCACGTGGGTCCAATCAGAAACTATCACAGCAACCACCGATCATTTCAAGGCGGTTCCTTGTTGCTGGTTTGATGTTTGTACATCGGACATCTACGAAGCCATGCCCAAACTGTGCCCGCCTGTTTTCTGCGAGGGCGGGGGGGGGGGCAAGGGAAGAGGCCGGATTCCTGGTGCACACCTCAAAACGAGTCCGAAGAACGGGCAAGCGTTTCGCACAAACCACGTCCCTTGCACCAACAGAATGAGCGGATATGGGGTTTGAGCTTGGAGGTGATCAATACACTGCAGTTGAGCCGCCACCTGGCACGACCTTTTGAGGTATATGGCCGTGGGGCACAACCTATGGCTCCATTTTGGGGTGGATGAACATCCATTTGTCACCTATTTTGATGTTCACCAGGGGTGCAGGGTTTTGACCCACAGCCATATCTCCTTGCCTTTCCCGCGGCCTTCCTCCCCCCGCATCCTCGCCGCTTTATTCGTTTGGCGAGGTATGAGACCTCGCTGGTGCGGCACGGCTTTATGCTGGTGGGCCCCACGCTTTGTGCCGACCTCGGTTGTAGCGATGGTCAGGGGCCATGCCTACGAGAACAGCCCGGGTTGGGACGTGGGTACCCCTTTCGTTTTGAAATTCGTTCTTTTCGACCTGTTGACCTTTTGAAAGGCTCAGAACAGGCTGGTCAAATAAAGAGGGCCTTTTTGGGTTCCGGACAGTTAGCAAGGGCGGCACGGCGCGTTACGATGGTCACCAAAGGGCATGGATTACGCTGGACCCTGCCGATCGGGCACGGTTGGGTAAGCCTGTACGACACCACCTCTTCTTGTGGCCACAGCCTCACTGGAGTAGGTCAGTTTATGAAGGTTTGTCCTGGATCCTAGAGTAGGTAAGAGGCATTCCAAAGGTGGCTCCAAGGATTTCTCCAAGCAGCTAATAACCAATCCGATTTTGAGCCAGGTTCGTTTGCTTCAGCCACAGCCCCATGCGAACAGCCCTGGGGTCCCCTATGTTTTGAACCCTCACTGCCATGCGCTATGTGATGCTTCCCCTAGTTCACCTCCCTCAAGGGCAAGCGGACGCACTCGGTATTTCTTTACACAAGCCTACCCAAGCCTGCACTTCATGGGCATGCTGGTTTAGCTTGGAGCAGAGCTCCCCGCTTTTCAATTCGGCCGCTTCCAGCAACGGGCCGGGAGAGTTTTGGTTCCAGAGCTCCGGGTTTGGAAGGCCCATGTCTCTCTGCCTTTGCCGCAGTTCAGTTCTTGGGACCATCGCGAGTTCGATCATAAACGCAATCTCTCCAATCAAGTTGTAAGCAAGCGTCATTTTCGGATGAAACCCGAGGACCATGCTTATCAGGGGTTTATCTCCGCTTTTGTGGACTTAATTCATTCCCTTTGGTCCTTTGGATGAATCCCACGCCAGAATTAAGCTTGCTTTCCTTCAAGCCTTAAGCATCTCGGGTAGCACGGGTAGCACCATGTCCATGTTTGGCTCGCCCCGTCAAAGAGTCTCATGTGAACTCTCGCTCCTTTATGCCACTTCTTACCGCGCCTGGTCACAAGAGCTTGCCCAATATCCAACATGTGCCACCTCTCTGATCTCCATCGCAAGGCCGAGCATATTCTCACATGCTCTGTTGAGAGAGAGCAAGAGGACTGGAACGAGCAACATCATTGCCACCCTCGCATTGGTTCAACAAGGGGACGGAGGTCAGCGGTTTTCTTCTTTCTTGCGTCAGCTTGACTGGTGCAATTGACGTAGTTGTTTCTTGGTAAGGGTGGTCGTCAACTCCTCCACAGGGATTTCAGACTGGCATGTTGACAGGCTTGCTCCGAGTCTCAGGATGACCAGTCCTCAAGGGTAGAGAATTGGTTGTCTCTAGTCTCCCTTTGGCAGGGACCAAATGTCTACCCTTTTGTGCCAGAGTCTTTGGGGTGCTAAGGGACCGGTAACAATTATTTGCTAGAGGGAACGACTATGATCTCTTTGGGCGAGTTTGCCGCCACACCTGTTGCGCGACATGTGCCATGGTCAGGACCTTGAAAACCTGTGGTTGGTAGGGATGGTTAGACAACCATTGTCTCATGCAGGGAAGCATGACCGTGACCCAGATAGTTTTGATCATGGTAACCAAAGGGGTGTTCCAACAGATACACCCGCATGTTTCTTAACGCCAATCCACGGGGCCTATATAGGTGGCAAGACGGAGATTCGGGAGATCCTCACGACGTGCCTGCACAACGTGCCCCGGTTTTGCAAACGCCAGCCGAGGGCATGCTCTTGCCACAGAGAGGCAAAGATCCTTGTAAATGGGTGTTTTCAAAGTAACCCAAATGAGCCACAATCAAACCTGGGTAGAGGAACCCTTTTTTTTTTTTTTTACCAGGTTTTGATTCTGACCCAAATTTGCGGTTGCCTTTTGGTTTCCTTGCAAACTCTGACCAAAAGTGGGGCCTCCAATATAAGAACACTCCCCAACATGCATTAAAGATGTCTCGTCTCGCCTTCTTAAAATAATGTGGTTTGCAACAGGTTTCTTGTCAAGTTGTTGTTGGCCTTCACACAAAGTCATGGTGAGAAAAACAGAACCAACACTTGTGACTCGTGACGAACTCATTAACCTCATCCGTATTTCAGACCAATGCACTGTGTTCCTATGAAGAGAACCATGCCTATGACCCTACATTTGGAATTTCTGAATTTCAGGCACTTAGGATTTCATGTCCATCCAAAAAGGCTCCATGTTGGTTTGGTCCTTGCGACTGTGAAAGGAGCTTTTTCCCTGAAGTGTGGCCCAAATACGGCCTTACTAAGCCTTGGGCAGGCTTGCCAGGGCCTTCTTGCCAGCCCGTGAAAGCTCAGGACAACCAGCCGCACAAGCAGGTGGTCATGAACCCCAAGGCCATCACGGATTCGCAGATGCCCCTTGGCAGGAAGTGGACGGAGAGCTTAGCTCGCTGCGCAGCTTAACACGGAACCCAAAGATGGTCTTTTTTTTACAAACAAACGCTTTTTGCGTTCCAGGTTCGTCAGAGGAGTAGCTCGTGGGACGTTTAGGGCAGGCTACATACGCTCTGCGGCCAGAGATCCCCGTTGTGCCCGTGGCAATTGAGTTGGTCATAGGCGTGGGCCACTTCCCACTGTATCACAGAAGGGACCATACAGTTTGCACAACCATCACTTGGCTTTTCGGCCATAAGTCGACACTTGAGGTACGGCTACAAGGACCCCATCAGCGAGGAGTGGACGCCTGGTGTGTTCGCCTCCATTTGGCAAAGGTACAACAACCGTCGCCCGGCTCAAACCTTTCCCGGGGATCGGGATCGCCAGGGTTGAAGGTTTCAGGAGGCTCAACTGGGGGATGGCGAAAGGCTTTTCCGGATGTTTCGCCATGGGTTGCGTGTCGACTGGTGTGTTTTCCTTTTCGTTTTCCTTACAGAGACTACTAACAACTTGAGAGACGTGGAGCTGCTCCCAGCCTGACCACGGGGTAGACTAGTTGGTGTCAAGCCGCCTTGCCCAAATTTCTGGGGCCTTTGGAGCCGCCCTGAAGTCATCTGGGCTTCATCTCCACCCTGAGACACATATCCGAAGTCAATCGCCGCGAGAGGGCTGGCGAACTCCGAGTGTGAGAGAGGCATTTGAAGGGAGCCTTTCGTCCGGGGGGAGTTTGAAGCGCTGTGTCTTGTTGGAAGCCCCTAAGAGGGGGAGGGGACATCAAAAGGAAACCGTCGCCGTTTTGGGACAAGCCCGAATTGCTGGGACCACACGCTGATTAGGGCCCGCTGACTTACTGGCCGATCTGTTGCATTCGTTGGAGCTAAACTGAGCTTGTCGCTTGCGTTCAGCGTATTGGTGTCTATAAGGGTCCCCTTTTCAACTTGTTCCAAATGGACACTGACAGGAGAACTGCCATTGTTGCATTTGTAACCCCCTATTTTGGCTTAAATGCCCGTTCGCTGCAAAGCCCCGAAGCCGTGTGTGAGGTGCGCTGAAGTACACCACTTGGATTGTGTGCGACGGTCCTGTGGATGCCATCTGGATTGAGAATCTTGGCGTGACTCTTTTGGCGATGGAAGGCTCCGGGGCTTGAGTGGTGATTTGCGTCACATGTGCCATGGTCACTTTTGACCCTTTCGCTTGCTCAAACACCTGTGGCAAGCAGTGTTTCTTCATGGCACACATGATCGCTGAGGAACTTGAACACCGTGCTGGATGACAACAAGATTCTCACCCTGGCTCCCCAACCGCAAGGTTTTTGCGTCCTGTGCCGTGTAGGGTGTTTCCCGAAATATGAGACCCTTAAGCATGGCGACAGCCTTCCTTGAGTTTCCCTTAGGCAATCAACATTCAGGAAAGCGCCACGTGGATCGTCTGCGCATTTTGGCCTTGCTGGACTCCGGCGGTTTGTTGCCTTGCTGGCCCAAGGCGAACAATGACCGAATTCCTATGACGGACAACTGCAAGATCGTCTTTGAGGCCGCGATTCTTGCTAATCGCCGTACTGCATGGTTTGTGCGGTGTTCTTGTGCAATGGGTGCTTGCACAAGCCGGACATTGCCAAGAGTCCCTTATTTTGAGCCGCACAACTTGTTCGGTCATTGTTAAGTGAACATCCTTGCGGCGGGGCGATGTTTAAAGAGGAAAGCACAAGGACCCCTGTTGCTCTTTGCCAGCAAGACCTGAACATCAGCTCTCCATCTTGGCTGTTTTTGTGAGGCCACAATTGATAAGTTGACTGTTGACACAAAGAGAAAACGCGAGAGAGAGAGAGAGAGAGAGAGCGAGAGCGAGAGAGACACAACCTGAGCTGCATTGCCTCCACAGAAAGTAATACTGCCTGAAACCAGCCGTTTCACTTGCACTCTTTGGCTATACATGATGCCCACAAAAGGATACTTTGTGCGGACACGGCCTCTGAGCTCGCTTTGGCCACTGTTTGTTGGCTCACCTACGACATGACCGAGCCAACCCGTTGAGCTATAGGCAAATGAGCCTTTCCCGCTAAGCATAAACAAATTCAACTTTTTTAGCAACGCTTGGACCCACCTCCCAGCTCCTTTTTTGCGGGGCTTTGGCGTGTTTTTTGCACCGAGCCAGGTGGAGAACTTGCGCAATGCCTCGCCTGCGACGGTGTCTCGCACCTCGGCGATGGAGGGTAGGCTTTCAGCAATCAAAAGGTGAAATGTGCAAACCACCCTTTGGGGGGCTTTGCAAGCCGTGTCCCTTTTTTGCGGGCACCATCGTTTTTTTCTTCTTTTTGTAGGGGGTCTTTAAATGGAAGGCATCCATTTCCGTGGTTTCAATGAGACTCGGCAGCGATTTCTGGGACACGAGCCAAGCGGGTATGTGTCGGAGGACCATAAACAATGTTACACAGTTGGTTTTCCTTTGACAACTCAACAACACCGACACATATTTTCGTGCTGCTAATAGGTGATTCAAATGACCTCATTTCCTGAGTTCGTGGACTGAGCACTTTTAGGGAAGACCACTTTGTTTGGCAAATAGAAAGCCCACATTTTTTTGGGGCAATCCACTCAGAAAGTGAGTGGCTATGACTGACTCGTAATACGAAACCACCTCAACAGTAGTGGGTGGACATGAATCCCCAGCTAAATGATGTGCACCGAAGGGTCCTGTGAAACTTCACGCCCAATTGAGCATCACCTCTTCTTTTTTACAATGAGTTTCGCGTGCAGTTACACGTTAAACGGATATGTTAAAAACCTGGTTACCTTTGCCAGCTCACTCTTGCATCCTGGCAGTTCTGGTCACAAACACCTATACAGCTTCAACTTGCGAGTGTTCGGCAAATGAGCAACTGGATGGCCACAGTCCTCCGTGGTCTTCTTCGTCTTGTGTTTTGCCCTGTTCCGCGTCCAGATGCGCTTTTCGGAGCCCCCCTCGTCCCGTGGTCTTCCTGCAGTCTTTCGGCAGTCGTCCCGCGGTCTGTCCAGTGCCGAGTCCAGGCCACGACCGGGAAATGAGCCAGTTGCAATTTGCAATTGTTTTTTTGCTCACTCGACAGTTCAGAGATGCCAAAGGGCTCCAGATTGAATCATAGCGACAAGCGGCGAGACTTTGTTTCATCCTTGCCCAGTGCTGCGTGCCTTTGCTGCCCGTTCCGCCCCCCAAAAGAGAAGAATTCAAGGAGACAATGGTTAATGTGAGCCACCGTCCTTTTTAGAGGAGTGTCTTTGTGGGACCAGACTTTCGGGCCCCACCTGGTTCAGTTCTTGTTGGTCCGTTTTCGGAGCCTTTGGGCTCATAAATTGTCGCAACGGGGGTCCCTGGACATCCTTCAAACCTAGTTCCCACCACTGGGTTTACAGTTGCCACGTAGGGTCTGGCGTGTCAGGGGCACGCGTGGTTACCCGAAGGTGTGACCGAGCCAACCTTTCGACCTTTTGGACAATGAACGTTTCCAACATGAACCATGCAAAGAAAGCACTCTTCAGGTCTAAGACAAGTTTTCCTGACTTGAGTAGTCCCCGCTCGCTGGCCCGCTGGCCCGCTGGCCCGCTGGCCCAGTGGGGTGAGCCGCTTAGGTGCGGGCATCATCTACGTGTCCGCGTCGGATTTGGGGTGGCAGCCCATCACGGAGGCCTGGATGCAGCGGCGCCCGGAGATCAACGCCTCGCGCCAGGCGCGCTCGCGTTTCTGGATGTCTGGACTCGTGGGGCAGTGGATTAGGGCGCCAACGATGCCGATGCCTTTGGAGAATTGCCTTTTGAGAATTGGGCCTTGAGGCAAAAGGCATGGGACATGCATATCGACCCATGTTCTTGATGCCCACGCAAGGGTCCAATCAGAGGCTTTGATTCGTTCCGCTCATTCAGAGCTTCCGAATCCTGAAATACGACGTCATGCTCTTGCATGCCCCACGTTTGGCCAACGGGCTTCCCTGACAGACCCCTTTGGTTGTAGAACCCTTTTCAGGCGTTTACAGTATTTTCCCAAGGCCAAAAGGTAAATCCCGCGTTGGGTTCCCTTCCTTACTTCCCACAAGGAAACAACGCTTGGGTTACTCCTTACTTTTTTTGATGGTTTTTGAAGGCAAACCAAGAAGCCGAACAGCCACTTGATGCATTGCCACACAATTGTTAACCCTTTTTAAACTTTGAGTTTCTTCTATATTTCATGGTAACCAAGGGGTGAGTCTGGCCAAGGGGCGCACCCGTAAGCTTGAGACACCAGTCTCTGATGAGGCCAAAGTTATGCGGGAAACAAATCCGAAGCTTGACGCTCCAGATTTGACCGCAGCACGTGATGGAAGATGCGAACCCGTTTTGCCAACATGTGGATGGACAAACACCTGCACCAGTTGGAAGGTGTTTTATTCCAATAGTTTTAGGGGTCAGAGCCTGGCTGCCTTTGGTGCCAGACGTTTCTACAAGCCAAAACCGGACCATCAGTTGGACTGAGCAAGCAGTGAGTGCGGAGCCGTGTTGCCAGTCTGCTTTGGGCCTAGGCCACAGTCAACACCGGGTTTGATCAAGGTGAGGGGACAATCCCAACCAGAACAATGTGCAGCACACTTCGGCCCTTGGTTTTGAGCACACCAGGTTTTGATTGTGACTGTGACTCCTTCTTCGCGTTGCAGGCAGAAGTGGACATTCTGAAGCCCCTCTTCGACAGGCAGAAGTGCGGATCCTCCGCCGCCGTATTTTGGGGGTCTCCTTTCCGCCCTTCAATTGAGATATTTTTCAGGGGTTCTCAAAATCAGTTTTGGGTCCCAGCGGTGTCCCTCTGAACCACGACATGTGAGTCATTTTGAGAGGTTAATGACTTGGCCTCACGCCCTCTGCTTGCACATCACCCTTGTTGTGTGCTTGCACTCAGCCATCTAGAGCAGATGTAGGCCACATTTCTGCGATTCAACCTTTGGCCCCCCTTTGCCCAGTCAGCGTCAACCAGACTTGCCCGTAAAACGGGGAACCAACATCAGTGAAATATTTTGCCAGGGTTTCCTTGAAGAGTTGCGCCGGTTTGCTTCCGAATTTGGGAATGCGATAGAATGCATGTTGACTCCGGGCTCAACATCTCAACCCGGCGGATTAGGGTGTCTCCAAAAGTGAAGGTTCCAGCACTCTGGGACACCCTTAATTGGTCAGAGGGTTTGTTACTCCAGGGGAACATTAAACAGGATTCGCTTCTAGCCATGTTGGGCCCATCGAACGATGCTTCGTGTTCCAGGCTTCCTTCACTGCCTTTCCTGCCTTATGCTGGTTTCAGGCAAAGTAGGCGGGTTACGTGCACCTAGCGCACCCTTGGCCTGAAAGAAGAGTTCGACCTCCCTGGTTGAGGGACTTTAGTGAGGCCCTCCAGAAAACGCCATCCATCAGTTCGGGTTTTTGGGGCGCCCGTTCCGAGCGAAGATGAGTTTCTGGGGAATCGAACAGCACGAGCTTCAAGAACACCAAACCCAGGACACATGCCATAGCCGAGGCTGCGCGAGGGTTTTCTAGGGGCAGCAGGCTCATGACCGCACCTTGAGAGTTTTGATTCAGCAAATTCCTGAAGACAGAAATCCCCAGACGTCCACCGAAGGTCCAATGAAAGCTCATACTTGTGTTTAGCACAGGCAAAATCCTCTTAGGAGGGGACTGGGAAGTGGATTGCAACAATGGTCACCAGCCGCTTACTTGACGCACCCTGCTCCAAGTCGTCGGCAAATCCTTCAGGTGGCTGAAGTCCAAGCCCCCGAACTCGGGTGCGGCGGAAGACTTCTTTGACTGGTGCATGAGGAACATCAAGCTTGTGGCTCGGGGGGATTTAGCTCGGGGAAATGCGTATTGAGTCTCACGGGAAGTGCGTCATGTTGCTCCCCTTCCTGTTTCCGCAGCATGAGGTAGTGATTCACTTCTGACCAGTTGGTGTGTTTGGTTTGCCTTGACGTTTATCTTGAAACGCTATTGTGGTCCAATGGCCGTTGAGTATTGTGCGTGCCGGCAGGGTTTGCCGGCTGGGGGTTCCTGGGCTGGTTGCTACAGTCGTACGACGTGTTTTTTCCACCACCTACACAAACCAGCCACTTCTTCAACTGTGACGTCCAAGCTGGTCGTCACCGCTCATCCCAGGCTTTGAGAACCGGATTCCTTGATCCCTGCAGTACATGTTGCGCACTGGGATCACTGGATCGACGCTATCCTCTTGCCCCAAACCGGATTTGGGAAACTCAGGGCCCCCACAGACCCATGGATTCACAGCACAGGGCCGGCCTCAGGAAGGTTTGGCCTTACTAAGCCCCTTGGGTTCTTATGAGGAGAAGTATCAAATTCCCACCGGCTCTTTTTCCACAAGCGTCCTAGTTGTTGGGGTTCACTATTCACGTCAAAGAATTGCTCCCAGTCACCAGATGGCTGTGCTTGGTGACTCGGACCTTGTCGCAGTTTGTCTCCCCACTAGTCTCCCTGCTTGTGCTTGATGACTCGAAACTTGTCACGGCTTGTCTCACGACTCTTTTGCCACTTGACTCTCACTCCCCACTTGCCTCTCCCCACTTGCCTCTCCCCGCTTGCCTCCCCACTAGTCTCCCTGCTTGTAGTTTCTGACTCGGACCTTGTCACGGCTGCGCGCTGCTTGCTGACACGGTTATGTCATCGTGAGTTTGAAGAGTTGGAACGTAAGATCAGGCCAGCTTTCGTGGACCGAAATTCCCATGGGCTTGATGCCCACGTAACCCCAATTCATACTGAGGCCAGCAGGCCCTCACTCTACAGATTGGATGTTGCCATAGCCATCCTTGGAGTTTTTTTTTTTTTGGGGGGGGGGAAGACAACATTTGTGACTCCTCCTGTTTTTTTGGCAGGGGAACCTTGCTTCAGCTTGCCTCTTGGTGGTTTGGATTGGTTAGGGGGTGGTTTCCCCTCTACCTTCTACAAGCACCAAGGGTTACCCAAGCCAAAGCAACCTGGTTTTCATTTGTCCCCAAACCACCAAACCACACATCAAGACCACCAGTTAAGGTTACCAGAGTGGTGTATGGCAAGTTGGCTGCAACTTAGCTGAGGTGATGCCCTGCAACGACTCCATCCTGATCTGCCAAACTTTGAACCTGCTCTCAGCGTCCCTGAAGTCCTATGTGGACGAGAACGCGATCCCCGGGGAGGCGAGCGCAAGCCCAGAAGGGGTTTGGAAGTAGTTGAAACCAAGCAAATCCTGGGTAGAGCCCAGAAGTCAATAGGTTTTGGGCGCTGCGCAATTGGGAAGGCACCCACCTCCGCAATTTGAATGGTGGTGCGAAAATGGGGTGGGGAGGTTCAGGGGCAGGCCACCTTTTGTGTGTTGAATCCCAAGGGAATCCTGTTGAATCAAAGCGATGAAGCAGTGCGCAGTGGACTCCTGGGTTATTTTCCGGAGCCACTGGAGAGCCGAAACTCCGTTTAGGCCTCGGAGTTGTCCGTTTGGATGTGAACAGGCTTGTTGCACTGACTGGCTTCCCACTTCCAGGCAGCACATCCAAAAACCCAAAGGCAACTTGGGCCTTGGGGCCGATTTTCTTTGGTCTGGAAATCCCCCAATTTCTTTGGTTCGGTGTTTGGATCACCCCCCACTTTGTGACAGACATGAACCTGGAGGTCTGAACCCCATTTCGGGCCCGGAAATCGGAAGCGTCAAGTTGGCGCCAGCTCGCCTTGTGTAGGCAGGGTGAAGTGCTGGGTCATTGATTCTTTCAGTAAGTTTGGCCGGAAGAATTGATATTATCAATGAATTGGATCCCTGCGTGTTGTAGGCTGGATTCCCTCCTGGATTGGACCTTCTTCTTGCTCTTCTGCTTTCTGGCGACGTATGCAGCCTCTTGCTTGGTCAGCCCAACCTCAATCCATATCTTCCACATGCTTTCTCAAACCAGCTAGTTTTCGTTGACCTGCTCGTTCTCATGTGGTCCACCGTTCTTCCTCATGCTTTCCCACTGTTTTTGTCCAGGTGGTCTCCATGTTTCGCCCCATGTTTCCTCCGCTTGCCTTCCCATATGTGTTTCACGTTGTTCTAAAGGGGCACAACTATTGGTCCCCCCGACTTTGACCCATACCCACATGGGTGTGTCTTTCTGCCGTTCTTGCCTTTTTTTTCTTCTTTCGGGACAAGGACACCACTGAATCCCATTTTGAAGGGTCCCCTACAAAAAGGACGCCCCCACAACGACTTTCCACCCCTCTCCCCCTGGGTTTCTGCAGGACACCTACCGCCGCATCTTGGCCTGGTGCATCATGTGGGGCTTCGGCGGCCTGTTGGAGCCAGAGCCGCGGAAGGTGCGCCTCGGACAACCCAAAAACATCCGGGTCGGCGGCCGGGCCCGGGAGCTGTTAGTTGTTTTTGGCTGATTGTTGTTTTTGCGGGTTTTATTGTTTTTTGTTTTTTTTGGGTTTTTTGTTAATGTTGAAACGCATGTGGAAACATGAACTGTGTTTGAAATGCTTGACCATAATGGCCCCGGCCATTTTGGCTCAAGCTTTGCTCTTGGGTTCTCTGAACCCAACTTGTGTGAAAAAATTGAGGGGAAGCACTTCCGAACTAACCCCGAACCAGCAATGGCCTCCTCGGCGACTTCGGCAACTTCCTTCGAGTTGATTGAGGACCAGGCACTCACCGCGGAGGAGGTGGAAATGGCCAGCCAGGAGGCCCAGGAAGCCCGCACGCGCGAGGCGGCTGTGGCGGCCGGCCTGGTGTTGCATGAGCCCGAGGCGCCCCCGTCGGCATCGGCCACCGATGTGATGAACGACCTCTCCAGTGCACTGGAGCGGCTCCGTGTGGCCTTCTCCACACCGACTCCCGGCCTGTCAAACGCACTACCCCCGAATCACGAGGATTACAAGGAAACTTCTCCGAACGGCCGGAATGCCACGAAGGACCTGTGAGGGGTTGGTACGTTTGACGTACCAACAAGCGCTTAGCTCCTTGGCCGACGCCTACTGGACTAAGGCGGCGAAAACATATGTAAACATGTTTGAAGGACCTGGTGCCCCTGGCCCCGCCGAGGACGAGGACAAGGAGATGGGCGATGAGGTCACCACGGAGCGGGCTACTCCACCAACGAAGAGGCTGAAGGGCTTCGTGGCGGCCTCCCAGAAGACCACGGCCCCGGTGAACAAACCGGTCTCCCTGGTGCCGGTGGATGGCCGTCCTGGCTATTTCAAGCTAGTGGACCTCCCAGACCTCTTCCCGGTTCTTCCGGCATCGGCGGCCACGTTGCTGAGGGACGTCACGGTGGAGGAGGCGGTCTCCCTGTTCCACAAGTTTGTCGGTAAGAATCTCACGGAGGACTTGGTGGTTCGCATCCTGGAGGCCTATGTTCCGATGAAGATCCAGATCCGGCAGGAGGAGGTCTGGGCCTCACAGTTCCAGCGGAATAAGGCATGCATTGGCACCCAGCGGATGCACAGACTCGATGCCGGCCACTCCGACTACAAATTCATGTGTAAGGCATGCGGCACGGGGTGGCCGGAGGCAGCCAATCAATGCTGGGTCTGCCCGGGCAAGGAGTTTGTCCCCTTCCAGGCACCCTCGGCTACCTACGAGGCGGACGGCGTCACGTACAACCTGCTCATTGTGGAGGGAAGGCGACCTGGATCCAGCAGTGGGATGGGGGAAGCCTGGGTGCCGCTGGCCCCGGTGGTACCCGGGCACAGGCAGACCGCAACCTGGTGGACGGCACGATCCTGGGGAGAGCTCCTCCGAAAACGGACACGGCAGAGGAGATCACCATGGCTGACGTGGTCCCGCTTAACAGGCGGGACATCCGGCAGGAGATCCTGTCCATGGAGGCGGACGATGAGGCGCTGAAGGTCCGGGAGCGCCAGGAGGTCAAGGTCAAGCTTCCAGCTCTACCACCCCCAGGTGGACCAGGCAATCCGGAAGAAGGAAGAGCTGCACAAGGCCTTGAGGGAGCACCGGGAACCGAATTCGGAGGAGTCCTCGGCCAGGCAGCGGCACAAGGAGTTGGTCACGGATGAGATGCTGGACAATGAGATGGCAATCCTGGCGCCTCTCCACAAGGCATGCAGGCCCTGCCGGCAGAGGAGGTGGCCAACGAGGGAGCCCGGGCCCTCAGGAAGGTCAACCTAGGACACCAACCAGGCATGGATGCTTAACCACACCCTCCAGCCCTTGGAGGTGTCGGCATGGCCAGATGATCTCAGGCAGGCTCTGGAGAGGGGGCTGTTCTGCCCCCTGGAGCTGGATGACCCCGAAGACATCCCCAATGTGGGGGACATAAGGAGAAGTACGTCCCCTACATCCGGAGGCTCAGAGAGGCACAGAACCCGTGGACCAGGAGGCGTTGCTGGAGGAGATGCCCGATCTGGCGACACCGGCCCCCCCCCGGGGGACCAGCCAATGGTATTGCAGGACCTGGACTCGGAGGAGGGTAAGCTGTCCCTGCTCCTCTGGGCGATGAAGAGGCACCAAGGGGAGCTACGGATGTTTGGGGGGATCTGGAAGAAGCACTCCAGCGGTGAGATCCCCAAGGGCGCGGACCAGCAATTCAAGCTCTCGCCGGAGGAGCTCCTGGCCCTGGAGCGCAGGACCCACCCACTCACGTGTGAGCGGGACCACATCGACCCGATCATCTACTCGGCCTTGGAGATCCGAGCGCAGGTGAACCGGGGTGAGCGCCCGGCGCCGGAGCAGGTGGTGGGGATCTTCTGGGCCAAGGGCGATGGCGTGTTTTGGACAAGGCAGACTCGCACGTGGGACCTGCCGAGCTTGACAGGGGTGTACGCCCACCGATTCACCTTCAAGTACATCTACTCGGCTTGGACCACATTCCCGCTGGTCGTGAAGACGCAGCGACGGGGCCGCAATGCGGAGGGCTCGGCTTTGGACAAGTGGATGGCAAACATCCTCCAGATGCGGAAGGAGGCGGTCCCCTTCCTGGAGAGCCTGGGAATCCCCAAGCCGCGCACCAAGGCGGAATGGAGCCACATCTTTAAGGAGATGGGGACGTTTCTGGCAGCCAAGAACTTCATCGTCAATTGCCCATTGCCGGTGATGGAGCTCCCAGTGGCCCCCGTCCACGACAGCAAGGAGGCCCTGCGTTTCAGGGCGGTCTGTGACGAGCGAATCACTCTCCCGCTGTCATCGTTGAGGGCTTTCGACTCGGTGTACACCAAACTGGTGGCAGGCCTGAGTATAAGTCCTCCATGGTGGAGATCAAGGTCAACTGGCGTTGCAACGTGGTCCATGACTGGGTGGAGCCGGTCCCGCAGGAGGCGGCGGGGGCCCTGTACGACCGGCTGGGCTACTCCCAGGACCTGATCAGGCAGCTGGGCTGCTCCCCCCCCTTGGGTGCCTCTGGCCCCGGGGGCGGGGCGGCCAAGGAATCGGACCCCAAGGCCAAGATTCTGGCGGGAGCGGACACCACGCTCCGCACGCCGGACCAGGGCACCAGGCGGTACCCCCCGATCACCACGTCCACGGTCACGGCGGTCGCGGGCAAGAAGTACATCAACAAGCACTTCTGGAAGGAAACCAAGCACGTGTTCTGGGCCTCGGTGGAGTGCGGCCTGGTCCTGCCCAGCATCAGCGCATGGGAAGTGGTGGGCAAGGAGAAGTTCAAGACCATCGGGGGCTACATGTGCAGGTTCTGCAAGGGCTTCTGGAAGGCGAGCCGTGGGGGGACCAGGCTGCTCCAGATTACGGGGTAGCACAAGGACAAGGCCACATGTCTGTAGCTGGTGATGGACGAGCCCCCGGAGCAGCTATATAATCAGTGGATCCGGGACAGGATGGAGTTCTACAAGCGGGTGGAGCCGACGGAGCCCCCCAGGGACGAGCGGCTAGTCCTTGGAGATGCGAGCACCCCGCGCATGCGCTTCAGCTCCTCGAACGGCCTGGGGGATGTCTCCACTGCCCTGTGGTCGGTCATCCTGAGCAACCCGGAGAAGTCAGGGCTGGCGGCCATCCACTCGGTGGCAAAGGAGGCGATCTTGAAGGGTGAGAGCCGCTAGGTCGTGTCTCACTACCCTTTTGGATGTGGCGTCGTATGTTCTCTCCCCACCGGGACTTGGGTGCCTCTGGCCCCGTCCTGGGTGGGGGGAGGTGTTGGGGTGTTTCCCTTGTTTTGGGTTCTTCGTTCACCTTGGTTTCCCCCCTGTTCAACACGCCACGACTGCCGGCTGCCTCGAACCGGAGGCTGCGCAATTTGGCTGCCCCAAGGACGGGCCGTATCGGCCACTGTTTGAAGAAAGTGGCTGCGGCTGACGCTGGGCTCCCTGAGGTTCCCCCGTCGGGTGGGTCTTCCCCCCTCCGTGGCCCTTTTGGGGATTTCCGGGGGGGGACTCTTAGGTCTTGTTGGGCGGCATGTCGCCTGCCTGCCCCACTCGCACTCGGCTTCCGGAAGGGTTGGTCGTGTTTGCAGGTTGCCGCGGTTGGGTCCCGGCCGTTCGATAAAAACCTCGAACCCTTGTTTTCAGCATGGCTAGGGTCTCTACACAGTTTCTGTTGCGCCCGCCTTACACTCGTCTTTGGGACCGCATCCCAAGGGTCCTGTGGGATGAGTCTATCTCCCCGAGACAGACAGACGGGGAGCTGCTGGTGCTGATGTGCCTGCGCCATGGCACGGCGGAGGAAGGGAGGCAGCTGGGCGGGGAGCCGGCCCTCCGCTTCGCTCAGCTCCTGGAACTCTCGGGCATTCCGGTGGACCAGGCTGACCAAGTGGTACCAACGGACTACTTCAACGGCCTGGTGGCGTCCGGGCAGGCTTCCCCAGCCTTTGTCCGCGGGGGACCTGGCCGACCTTTGGGATAGCCTCTGGCTCCTCCTCATGGCGGCTGCGGACGGCAAGCTCAGCGAGAACTTTTCCCCGCTGGAGAATGAGTGGGACCGCCAGGACCAACTGAGGTGGTTCTCGCGAGATGACCCACCCCCACTCCAACAGCCGGAGCTTCTGAAGTGGCGGCACTGGAGGCCCGGGAAGATCAAAAAAATGGAGCCCACGACTCAGCGAGCACTGGAACTCCATATGCGCGGGAAATGGGCGGAACGGCTCCTTGCCCACTTCGCCCCCTTCGCGGAGCACATTGCATACATGCAGGACATCTTGGGGGAGGACTTCCGCAAGGAAGCACTGGACCTCTTGGGGGATAGCAGGTTCCGGACGCTCAGGCAACACTGCCTGGTCTACGAGAGTCTCCGCAAGAGAGGCTTCACCGTCATCCCATGGCAGGAACGACATGTCCGTTCTCTCCTCAACCAGCTCGCCGATGAGGAGGTCACCCCGTGCAAGTTGCGGCAGGTGTGGAACACCCTCAAGTG